GTCTCTTGGTAAGCATTTTAAAGTTTTCACCAGCCACACCTCTAAAAACATAACTAAAAAACACAAAATATCTGAAACATTTTGTTCGGCAAGGAAATTTTTCGGAGTGTCATTAAGTTAAACGAAGGTTAGACGCAATTTTCAGCTACAGTAACGTGACTTTGGTCAGGTGACACGTGACAGCATGACGCAGAGGTCCCCAGAAGAGCACCCAAGTTGAAGTTACATTTAAAAATATGACTTATGTCTAGGGTCAAGACACAGATGTGAATGGAACAGGGAACGGGAAGGGAGGGAGGATAAAGGGGAGGCGAAAATAATAAAGAAACCAAGTGATTACATTAACTGGGCTAAGATATCTAAACTAAAAGAAAAAAAGAGGTGGGAAACTGAAACGAGGCAATAAACCAGAGATGGAAAACCTGGAACCGGACCCGCTGGAACACGGAATCTGAAAGGATGGATGGACATACACGCGCATGCTAACGTAACAGAGATACAACCTGAAGTTTATAAATCAAGGTCATTGTTGGTAACAGGTGGCCAAGCAACTGCCTATTAGGAATGAATGTCCATGAAATTCATCATTCAGCAAAAACATGATTTATCATTTAGTGAAGCCATGTATCCGAATGAAATCTGTTATCCCTATAATGATGTAGTGCATTTAACTGATTTTTTTTTCTTTCTTAATTGGTTGTTTTAACCTAATAGTCTTTATAACTAAACTGAATAGATTTTGTTGTTTTTCATAAACAATAATCAGGGCAGATGTTGCTGTTAGGGAGGAGCGACTAGCAAAGAAAAGGTACAGATATATCTGTGAAGGTGTATCAGAGTAGCAGTGGCAGCAGTCAGCATTGTCTGTAATCCTGGATTGTGCTCCACACTATAAAGTGCATTTGGCAATTAACTTGGCTTAAATCTTAAAAAGAAATGTATGGATGGATGGATGGATGGATAACTAAAAAATGAATGAATAAATAGAGATACATAGATTGTATCATCGCCTAACTTTTCTTCTTTTTCGTCTTCAGCGCTTCCCCGGGGGTCACTATGGTTACCCTTCTCCTTCAAGCCGGAGCATAAATGAGGGGGTGTTCAGCTCCATATGGATGTCACTTTTTGTAGCAGTCCTTATATGGAACGTCGTCTTCACTTTCATTCGCCTCTCGTCCTCCAAGCATGATGCCCGGTTCAGTTGTTCCATCAGCTCCTCCTCAGTAACAGCCTGATCCTCTCGCACCCCCCTCATATCCAGCTTCATAGACTCATTCAAGAACCCCTGTATACACTGACCATCAAGAATTTTTTTTGGATTACAGCAACACCATACTCTTCCTTCGCTTCCTCTTCTGTGGAGGTCAGAAGTCAGTCTTTGAGTTCTGTGGTTCCAAAGAGGACATTTTGGGCAGTGTCTTTAGGCTCTTGGGTGATGTTGATGAGTTGGTGATAGAGCTCAGAGGGACTTCCCACTTTGAAGTGGCTTTTCAACGCTGTCGAAGTAGGAGATAATGAGGTTACTTTTAGATTCCAGCATGTTCCACTGGGGCAGTCCAAGGCTTATCACTCTAATGACAGCCTCGATTACTTCAGAGTAGAGTTTAGATTCTCTGCCCGAGGCCGAGCCCAGACTTGACCCGACCCGACCC